GTGTCTCTATCATGTTCTCATTTAATCCCACAATGAACCTACGTAACCATCCCCACTTTACAGATAAGAAACGGAGAGGTTGGGTGACTTGCCTAAGGTTACACAGTGACTCTCTTCTATCTGATGCCAAGGTTTAGGCCCCTTGGTCTCTACACTCACAGCCCTGACCATGTGGCTTTTTTTGCCTGTTTTTCTGGCATCTTTCATGACTCCTGATGTAGAGATTTTTAAAAATGAAAAAATGAAAACTGAGGCGTGGGAAGTGACTTGCTTAAAGTAGAGCTGGAATTCAAACCAAGCAGTCCGAGTTCTGAGTCCACCCTCTTAACCAGAACTTTGCCCTGTACTTTCTTTGAGGCCAGAGAGAGTACTCCAGTCACCTTTGATTCCTCCATGTGTTAGCTCCTTGAAGTAGGCGCTAATCTGTATTTGTTGAATAAGTGAGTGAAGGAATGGGTGGGTAGAAGGGTGGATGATTGGATGGCTGGATAGCTAAGGGGGTAGATGGGAGGATGGCTGGATAGATAGCTAAGTGGATGTGTAGTTGGATGGATGGTCAGATGGGTGGATGAGTGGATGGAAGAGGATACAGATGAGTCCGTGGTTGAGTTAGAGGGCTTTCTTATATGTAATGTATTGGTAGATGCACAGAAGCTGTCTAGAAACAATACCTCACTTAGTTATGGTTATAATAGGTATTTCAATTAGAGAGGTTGTAGAACAAAAACATTGTCTATTTGTTTTCCATTAGTACCTATAAGACAGCCTGGAACATGGAGGGGTCTTAATAGTTTTTATGTTTCTTTGGGTTTTTTTGTTTGTTTGTTTGTTTGTTTTTGTTTTTGCTTTTTGATGACTGAAAAACCAAACAGACAGGCACCAGCTAGCCAAAAATATAAAGCTTTGCAGTCTTCCTTAGACCATACTGTGCAAAGGATCCATCTCAGAGTTGTATGTTGACAGACTGGGGAGATGGATGTGGTATGTAAGGGTTCCCAGTCAGTTTCCTCAAGGGAAGAAGTGTTTACTCACCCAAGACACAAGTTCTGCCAGGGCCTGCCTGCCAGAGCATTTGGACAGAAGGTGTCAAGGAAACATTTCTCAGACTGTTTTCTTTCCCTGGGTTTGAAGCTCAGCCTGGTAGCAGCTATCAAGGGTCTGAAGGAGCAGATCTGTAGACACTTGTGGTCTTAGAATCAGAATGTTTTGGTTTGCTTATTTAACTGATTTCTCCCCAAGGTAAGGTCTGTCGCTATAACTTTCATTGAGATGTCAAAGACATTGGATGGTACTTGCTCTTTTCTGTTGTGAAAGCACATTTTTAATGGCAATTTGTCCTCATTTGTTGTGTTCACAGTGAAATAAAAAGTCAGAAATATCATCAGAGCACCTGAACCTTTTCCTCCTGACTTCTGTTTTAGGGAGTCTTTTGAGAAACCAGAAGTCACAAGAAGAAGTAGAAATAAAAGAATATGGGCCACATTTCTAGCCACAGCTGAGGTTGGACTGAGGACGATGGTTGGTGGGTCAGAGGTCACCGGGTTTATTTCTGTGAGATCTGGGAATTTCCAATGCTGAGCAAGATCATTTGAGTCAAATGTTATAGATTAATAATTATATGGTTTACTAGAGGCCCGGTGCACATATTCATGCACTGTTGGGGTTCCTCAGTCTGGCCTGCACCCTCTCAATATCTGGGACCACTCTGGGGATGTAGTAGTGTGTGAGATGCTCCCACAGACTGCCAGGGAGGAACCTGAGCCCTGCTAGAGCAGCCAGCGCCCACTCATCTCTGTCCACTGCACCTGCCGCCGCTCCGTAGCACTGCCAAGGAGGCGAGAGAGGCTCGCACTGCTGCAGCTGGGCTCGCCAGCCATGAGCCCAGTGTCTGGTGCCTGTCAGGTCAGCTGAGTGGCACTTCTGCTGTGGGAGCACACTGACCACCAGGGGGCATCTCCTGCATTGAGTGTCTACCCCCGAGTGGTCAGTGCACATCATAGCAACCAGTCAAATGGTGGACTGGTCAAACAGTTAACCAGTCGCTTTGGGTTTTATATATATAGATTTTATTTTATTGTTAATCCTCATCTGAGGATATTTTCCCACTAATATTTAAAGAGAGTGGGAAGGAGAGGGAGAGACAGAGAGAAACATCTATGTGAGAGAGACACATTGATTGGTTGCCTCCTGCACACACCCCAACCAGGGCCAGGAACCTGCCACTGAGGTACGTGCCCTTGACCAGATTCAAACTCAGGAACCTTCAGTCTGTGGGCCGATACTCTATCCACTGAGCCAAACCAGCTAGGCCTATATGTTTTATTTTAAAGTGTTAGAAGAACACACAGTGTGACTTCATGGGTATTATCACTTAGGATGGAACCAGAGTTATAGCACATGCTAAAAATTAGTTGACTTGAAGACAACAGTAGATAAATAATAAAATAAGAGAGCTGTTTTACATGATTTAAGTCATTAATCCCCCAACAGTTCAATTAATTAGGCACCGCTGAGGCTTGGAAAGGTTAAACATGGCCAATAAGTGGCGTGCCAGGATTTGAACACATGGGAGCTTACATGGGAATGTGAGCTCTCATCTCTGCAATCCTCTGCCTCTTAAAATAAAATAAAAAAACAGCACAAATAACAAAAAACAAAACCTGCTTTGCCCTTGCAGCCTGACATCAACACTCCTCAGCACTCTGAGAGAATTCATGCCTATAAAATGGGATTGAGCATTGGGAGAGGCCTCTGCAGAGGTAACATGTGTTGGCCTGGATTTGCCACGTGACCTTGATCCAGCGCCTCCCTTTCCCCGGGGGCTGAGCAGGAATGGGTGGCTTTCATGAGCTCTCTCCCCAGGGCTCAGTTGGGCTCCGTGGAATACAGCCCTGTGCTTGGTTTGAGCCAGAGCCCTTAGTTCTGTGATGCCCAGCAGTATCTGATGTTGGGCAGACTTCACAGCAAGCATCAGGGCCCAAGGACACCCACCTTCCCGTGTCCCGAGTTGACCAGAGCCTTGCCTGACAGGCTGAGCTGTTGGATTTGACTTCTAATAGCACTGGAATATCCCTGAACAACTTAAGCAAGAGGGTTACATACTCAGATTGGGTTTGACAAGGTCCCCTGGCCATCGGGTGGAGAACAGATTGGAGGGCAGCCAGGGTGGGACAGGAAAGAACAGGAAAGCAGCTGTTACAGATGTCTGTCCAGGCCACAGATGGCTTGGACCACAGAGGCTAGGATAGAGATGCAAGCAGTGGTGAGAGATATTTAACAGCAAAACTGGAAGGGGTTGTAATGCTTAAGTAGGGGCTGGCTGTGCAAGGAGATGCTCAGATTTCTGGCTTGCTGCTTGGGAGCATGGTGACACCAGCACCCTGTGGGAAGCTTGACTGGGAGCCCTTTCCTCCTTTACAACACATTCTAGGAAAGGCCTGGCATGTTCCTTCTCCTCCTCATGAAATTCTCTCCACTTCAGAGTACAGGGACACAGTCAACTGCTCCATCTCTTACCACGACTGGTAATCCTCCATAGGAAGTCATGGACCTAATGTAGCCATTCCTCTTAAGGGGAGAGCAGGGTCTTGTGAGAAGTCTGGGACCATCTCGCCAAAGGAAGATTTCTGAGCAGGAGAGGAGTATGGCCCGATCTCTACTGTAGAACAGTTAGTTACTCTGCTGTGTGGAGAGAGAGGCCAGGAACAGGGATCAGGGCAAGGGGGTAACTATGGGGCCAGAGCCGCCTCTGTGGGGATGGAATTCCAGAAGGGAGAAGTCTTCTCCAGGTCGTCTGTGCCACATGCCAAGCGCTTTGCTGCCTCCATGCCTTTCTGTAGCTGCTTTCCCCGCCCGGAACACGTTCTCCTGCTGTCACCAAGCTGGCTCCTTCTCCTCCTGGTCTCACACTCAAGAGAGGCCCTCCCTGAACCATCTAAACCGTTCCACTTCGTTATTCTCTATGGAAGCACCTCCTTCCCATCCTTTACTTTTCACAATGTGTGATCATACATTAGGATTAGGTGTTCCTTTTTGAGTGCAGGGACCATCTCTGCTTTAGTCACTTGTGTTTTCCTGGTTGTCTAGCTCTGGGCTTGACGTAAAGCAGGAAATCAGTAAGTATTTATTGAGTGCATATATGAATTAATTAATGGAATGCATACATAGTAGCCATAGCAGTATAGATATGAGATTGTTATCATATCTCTAGAGTTGACCCTTGAACAACACGGGTTTGTACTGCACTTAAACACGTTTGTTCAAGGGTCAGTGGTGCTTTCTATCCAGTTGGAAACCCATGTGTACAGAGGGCCAACTTCAGTTATACTCGGATTTTCTACTGCAGAGGTGACCGGTACCCCTGGCCCCAGTGTTGTTCAAGGGTCAACTGTATATGCTTTCCAAGCATTGATCCTCATAGCATCTGCCAAGAACGTGAGATGGGAATTATCCCCAAGAAGACTAGATGAAAACTAATATCCTGAGATGTGTCTTGTCCATGACCTAGCTCATGGCAGAGCTGGGATTAGGGGCCGGTATGTGTATCCCACACTTTGCCTACCACATCCTTGCATTTCTTCTTAGGCTCAGAGTACATGGCCACCTGTGGACTGACCCTGTTGTCTGATCAGCCAGTCTAGACCACCAGATCAATCATATTGAATATCTCTTCTCCTCATAGTAATTATTTCTACCTTCCTTTAGCAACACAGCCTGACTTGTATCTAACAGGAGACGGGTTTGTCTTAGACAGCATGTGTAAAGCACTAGGGAAGAGTTTGACATGTTCGAGAAACTAAAAGGAGGCCAGCATAGCTAGAATGGGGGCAGGTAGAAAGGTTTGTGTCTGCGTCTTCCTCACTTCTGGGTCTCCTTGAAGGGCACAGAGCTCTCTGCACACTTGTTACTGGCTTATAGCTTTAACTGGTCCCCTGGCCTATATACTTGGCCTTCGCTGGACACAGAGCTCTAACCTTCTCTCTCCTCTTCTCTGACCCCAGTGCCTACACAGAACCCTACAAGGTCTGTCCCATCTCAGCCGCAGCCCCCAAGGAGGACCTCACGTCGGATGAAGAGCAGGGAAGCTCAGAGGAGGAGGACAGTGCTCCAAGAGACCCCAGCCTCACCAACAAGGTAGGGTGCCCCTCCCAGGGCAAGGGGCCACTGGGATGTGGGGGATCAGAGATGTGAAGGTGGAGAGAGGATGTGGAGGGAGCTGTCGGCAAACAGCCAGGCCCGCGCTGCATACAGAGCTCTGCCTGAGTCGCAGAGCAGCCGGGGCTGCAGCATTAAGACGCACGGCAGACACGGGGTCCTGTGTTGGTGATGTAAGGGTGACTACTCCTGCTGGTATCCTCCCGCGTCTGTGGAAGTTTGGGCTTCCCAGAACCTTTGTGGATGAACTAGAATAAAGCTTCCTGAAGGAATCAAGACAGACCTGGAGTCTAATCACGTGGGCCCCTGGACCTCAGTTTCCTCGTCTGCAAAGCGGGGAGCATGAGGGTGAGACGAGTGAAAGGATCTGAAGTGAGTTTTCTTAACTGTATCCAGAAGTCTGGGGAGAAAGTTGGTTTCTCCAAACCCTGCAGTGGTGCACTGGGAGGTGGGGCTGAGAGAAGGGCTGCCTAGCCCTAGTCATTGGATCCCAGTCTCAGTGGAGACCCAGACCTGCCTATGGAGCACTGGGACACGGTGGTAATTAATTACCGTTGTCCCGCAGTATCCTCAGGGATTGGTTCCAGAATCCCCACAGATACCAAAGTCCACGGCTACTCAAGCCCCTTCTATAACCTATTTGCATGGAGGCTGCAGCAGGGTGTGCCCATGTATCATTTTTATTTGTGTGCCTTCAGGTTTTGCTTTTTGGAACTTTCTGTGTTTTTTTTTAAGTATATTTCTGATCCTCCGTTGTATGAATCCACAATATATGTGCTCGCTATTGGTGAGCCCTGCTTCACTTCCATCCACTGACATCATCTCATTCCTTCCACACTCCCTTTCTGGGAACCGAGAATTGCTGTCCATATTTTACATGTGAAGAAACAGAGAGGTAAAGAACTTGCCCAGGGTCACACAGCTGCTATTCAGTGTTACCAGGGAAATACCACAGGGTGATGAGAGCCAGGAATTGAGACCACAGGGGACAGGCAAGGGAGAGTTAGAGGCTTGAAATTCTCTCCACTCCATCTTCTGGGCCCCTCTCCTGCCTGTCTGTGGGGAGTAGCTGGGAAGGCAGAGGCACACTGCCTCCTACCTGACAGACCTCCTTTAGGCACCTTGTCCTGTGTCCGTCTTCCACACTCTGTCATCTCCCTCTCATCCTTGGGTAGTTGTGTCACTGATGAAAGACTATTCACACAGAAGCACTCAGCAGGAGTGCCTGGCCCTTACCAAGCATTTTGTGAATGGTTATGTCTTCCATTTTGTTTTTATACCCTCGATTTCTTTTAAAAAATCATTTATCTCTTCGTACAGTGTTTTCATAAAGTGACCTGGCCAGTGCCATGGGGAACCCTGAAGGGGGCTTTCCCACCGGACCCCACGTCCCCTCCCCCTTTCACCCTTGTTCCTGCTTCTCCCCCTCTAGATAAAGTGAGTGCTTTCCTCGCATCAAACGCTTTCACATTTTTCTCTTTTATCCCCTATAACAGTTTCGAAGTCAGTACCATCATCCCTTATTTTACAGTTGAGGACACAAGAGGTTCAGAGAGTTTAAGTGGTTTGCCAAGATCTCACTGCTGGTGGTTGGGGGGAGGGGGTCTGGCTGGCTCCAAGCCCAGTGTTCGTTGGCTTTTTGCCTCAGTCCTGGGGGCCATCTCTTACCTCTCCACTCCTCCCTGTTTCCTAGAAAGGAACTAGTGACTTTTGGGGGAGAAGGAAAGGGAACGTTGAGTTAGCTTGCCTTGCCTGTTTAGAGATGGATTTGCCTTTTCTGGGCATCCCTGAGGTCACGGAACCTGGGAGCAGGAAAATTATAGTAGTTATTGGGAATGTGGTCTGAATCTGAGATCAGAATCAGATGAGGGTACCATGCCTGGAAGAGCTGAAGAGCTGATGGAGCAGTGGGGCCTCCCAGGTGTCACTTTCTGAGCTTCAAGGTCCCCCACCGCGCGTTGGCTTCCTACCACAGTCAGCGTTCTCCGCTAGACCTTCTTCTGGAATCATCCTCGTCTCCCCCTCCAGCTGTGTTACCACTGACCAGTTGCTTTCTGTCATGCAACTCAGCCTCCTGTCTCTAAAATGGGAGCATTCACAGTAGCTTCTGGGCTGTGGGCTGAATAAGCACACAGATGGGGAAGTGCTGGCCACATAGTAGGGGCATAACAACGACCTGATGTTTCTGAGTCAGCGTCAAAGGGAAAGTGGGAGCAGGGAGGGTCTGGCCTCCCAGGATCCCTATAAAGGCATGAGGTCCGAGGGCCCTGGACACTGGTGATCGGCATCCCCGCCTTCTGGTCTCCAGGCTGCTCCTTGGAGACGCCCAGGAATAAGAAGCTTATAAGAGGCAGAGTAGCATAGAGAACAAGAGCTTCACACCCACCCAGCTTTGCCACTTGCTACGTGAGTGGTTTGAACAACTTCTTAACCACTCTGTTCCTCAGTTTCCCATCTACACAATCAGGAAAGCAATCACAGTACTGCTTCAGAACAGTCATGAGAGTAAACACGTCTATGGAAACTGAGAACAATGCCTGACACACAGGAAAAGCACACACGAAGGTCAGAGCTTTCGGGTGGGAAACAACCTGCCTCAGGTCAAGTGGGGCTCGGCAACAATGCCACGTCCTGGAACGAAGGCAGCGCCCGCCACAGCCAGGGGCCTCTGGTCCATCCTGCCCGGGGCCGGCCAGGTGCGGGGCCCACACGGGGAGCTTGGGTCGGAGACAGGAGCATCCTGTCATCCTGAGCACAGAGGGAGAAACTCGGGTCTAAGATTCCCGCCGGCAGGTCAGTTCACTCTCGGAAGCCCAGCCTTCTTATCTGTCAAACGAGGCTGAGGTTCTCTGTCCCACCACCCCCTCGTCCTTCTTCGTGAGGTTTTCGTCGTGTGCCAAAGTGGAAATTACCTTTAAAAATTACGCTCTCGTCACGTGAGATGTGCTCTGTGAGATTCTCCCTGTGGCATATGAAATTGTCACAGGTAACAGCTAAAGCCCCCTGAAATACTCCTTCCCAATCCCCATGCCCTTAAAGAGGTAACTGTGGTCCACAGTTTGGCATGAACCCTTCCAGAACTTTAAGTGGAAAATGAGTGTTATTGTTTGTGGAGTTATTTTTCCATAAATTATATAAAACTATAAGAAACGTGCCAAAACCTGTCTAGCTCAGTGGATAGGGTGGATAGAGTGACTGTAAGGTCCCAGGTCAAAGGCATGTACATTGGCTGCGGGCACATCCCTGGTGGAGGGAGTGCAGGAGGCAGCTGGTTGATGTTTCTCTCTCATCGATGTTTCTGGCTCTCTCTCCCTCTCTCTTCCTCTCAGTAAAAAATCAGTAAAATACATTTTGGGGTGGGGGGGGGGAACTATAAGAAACCTGGAGTAACTTGGGTTGGTTGGGTTTGTACACAGAATTCTTAGTATTTTCCCATATTGGTCTATAGAACTCTAGATTATTTTTTAGTACTGAGTAGTATTCCATTTTATGAATATATGGTGGTTTATTTCGCCATCCCCCTGCTGAGGGACCTTTGCCATGTTTTTCATGTACTTGCATCGCCAACAGCATTGCAGTGCACTGCTCATACGCCTCCTTAGATGCGCATGCAAGATTTCCCCCAGGGCAGATCCCAGAAGGGATTCGGTGTTTCGGCGAGCAGCCTTTGTACCCGCTGCTAACCTGACCCCTAAGAGGCTGTTCCAGAGCACTCCGGGTGGAAGAGTCCCCGAGTTGCCAGGCCTCGGGGCAGGCGTGCAGAGAGATTTCCAGAGTGAGCAATCTTTCCTGGCTCCTTTTAGCCACTTGGTGGGGTGGGAGGTGGGGAGAAGGAGCATTTATTCCTGATTCTTTGTCTTCCATGGTGTTTGTCCAAAAGGCAAGGACCTGTCCTCTCTGTGCCTCCATCACATCATTGGGAAAAGGGGACCCCGATTTCCATCGCCAACCACCTGGCAGGCACAGACCTAGAGAGGGTGTGAGTGATCAGTAGAATTGCTCCCCAGCCCTCCCCCTGCCTCAGAAGTCAGGTTGGGGGAGTGGAGGCGGGGGAGTCACACCCTTCTTACAGTTTGATAATGGTTTATGTAAAAATAAAGGATGGTGATCCCCACTCTTCCTAGGTGTTTTGGGGCGACCACGTCAGGAGGGGAGAGGTTGTTGGAGCAGGATCGGAAGCTGAACCCAGCCAGTCCACCCACATGGGACCTCTTTCTCTGTCCCACTCCTAGACATACAAAGGGTGTGGGTGGAAGGAAGGAGGGGGCAAGAAAGGAAAAATGAGAAGGACTTAAAAATAGACCTAGCTGTGAAAGGAGACATTCAAAGGTTGGCTGGCCTGTTGCTCCTCCCTGACAATGAGCCCAGTTCTCAGACTAATGGGTACTTTTTCAAGCTAAATACCAGCTCCCTCGAGACCAGCCCCGGGGTTGGGGCCCCTCCCTGGCCCGAGACCCATCGTCACTGAATTTCCCTGACAGGTCACCCCTGACCCTGAGCTGAAGGTAGTGCCCGGCCTGTGGAACAGACTCTCCTGCCATCACACCCTCCGTGGCTCCCCATTTATGTCTCTTTCCTGGCTGCACCCGAGGTTAGTCAGCCTAGCCCAGGCCTCCTTGCAGACCTCACGCCCTTAGGCCTTCTACCTTTGGCCTCACCCTGACCGGCTGCCTAAGTTAAAGGGTCCCCGTGAGCCCTGGTTATTTCCATGGGCCCGTCTCCAGCCTGGGTTAAGGGCCCCCATGTGCTTTCTCCATGCCTCAGACCTCAGAACCCACCTGTGCAGTCCTGCACACTGCCCCACTGCAAATGCTACTTCCCCTGGTCCCGGGGAGGCCCTTCTAGACTTGCATCAGCTTCCTCAGGCTGCGGCCCGCTCTCCTTCCCAGAAAACAACCTCGTCCCCTTCCCAGCACGAATTCCCTCCCGCCTGCAGCACTTCTCTCTGTATCCTCACTCAGTTTCTCCCTGTCCCTCCT